GTCTCATGTGACTATATGACCTCTAAATCAGCTCTGTTTAATCACATAGGACACAATCATCAAACCAAAGTGTGTGGTGTGCGGTGGGGGGATCACAGCCACAGTCAGTCTTCAGGAAGAGATGAGAAAAGGCAATGTTTCTTAACAGATTTGATAACACATTTGTTGACATTGAATTTCTTATGAAACTGCATTCTTCACCCAACTGGTTTTCTTGTTGGATAATAAAACACATGGCTGCATTCTGTTTAACCCCAAACTAGTTTACTGAGAAATACTGGATTATGCATGGTTCGGGATTTCTGTGTATTGCAGATAACAATATAAAAGCTGTGGTGGTTTAGCATCCCAGCTTACTTAATCACTCACTTAGCAATTCAGCCCTGTTCCAACCAAACAGACCACAATAGGCAGAGGCATGAGGCAAGAAAAGGCACTTTCAAAAACTGGATTTCACACAAAATTGATTAGACCTTCTAAAATCCACCAGTATCTCCACATGAAATATGCTCCTGTATTTGGTGCGATGCCTTAGCATTAAATGGCAGACAATAGAACAGTGTTGTTTTAGAGGGAAGGGTGGAAGTGGGAGGTGGGGGGTTTGGAATTAAGATTTTTGTAATTATGGTTTATGCTTAGATCAGGAATTCTGTGCAATGGGAGTGGCTGGGATGTGGTTTATTACATGGATCAGCAACTCTGCTTGTCTCAGATATGCGCTTATCTGAAGTCGATTTTTTAAAAAAAATGAAATGTGAGCGCAGAGCGTCAGATGTCTGGTTGACTTTTCAGCGCAGTGACTTTGACAGTAACAGGTATAATATGGAGAAGGTCATACGGGCTTTTAATTTTTTCCACATTTTCTTTCCATCTTTCCTCCCTTCCTTCCCCTCCCCTGAGGCATTTGCTTTATATCCATATGCTTGCTATTCATTACTTGATACATTAGGTGGCAGTCAGTGGGCTTGAAAGAACATTTGAAAAGCATATCTGAGGAGATGTTCATTTAGTCAGGAATCTTGCTATCCAGTGAGGATTGTTGAGAAGTAAACATGTGTGGGTGTTGAGAGAGGACAGAATGGGAAAGAATGTCAAAAGATCTGCAGAAAACAGCTTTCCAAATTGCGTGAGGACTGAATTGAAGTTTTTCCAAAATGCGTACTCCACAATCTTTGATTTTAAGACCGTGGGCTTACGGCTGAAACAGGTGGAATTTCAGGGTTCTGTTTTCCACAGCTGACACGAAGAACATGCCATGTAGAAAATAATAATAATGAGTCTTGCATTTGATATAGAGCCTTATCACTGAGTCGAAACGTCTCAAAGCGCTTCACAGAATATACTGTAAAGTGTAGTGACTCTGTATATTGTTGGTAAAATAGAAGTAATGGGTACAGACCTAATTTATACCACTCTGCAATGTAGCCTGCCATGTTTGTGGCCTGCAGTGTCTTAACTGTATAGTGATTCTGCCATCAAAATATTTCTACACATTGTAAAGTGATTGAGATATTTTAGCATCAGGTACTCTAAAGCATTGCAAATTCTTATACTTACCAAGAAGTAATGATTTGATTGTAGGGTGGATGGGTAGCTGTCTGATTGAAACGCAGATCTGACTTTAAAGACATTAGATATTAAAATGCCTCTGGCTTTCAGAACATCAGACTCAGTCAATTTGCACAATTGAAGAGGTGAGAATGGAATGAATTAATCCCAATCTGAAATGTCTTTTTTTTGTTGTAATCTTTCTTAGTCAGCTAATCATAATTGCAAGAAAGGGCTTATAAAATATTTGACTAAAATAGGTATTGTTCTAGAAAGCGAATGTAAGCTTTGTTCATAAGCAGTGACCTGTTCATTTCCTCACTCACAATGCTGATATGCAGATATTAAACAATTTGAAGACACGTTGCTACTTGCCTGTATTCTTCAGACCGAACTAAAGAGTTCACTGGAGCATTGCATTTTGAAAGAATGGAAAATTTACAATTAGTTAATAATTGGTCTTAGATTGTGAAGAGCTTGCCGTTGAGAGGATATATACCCTTAAATTATACTGGGGGAAATGTGGCATGTGATGCAATACGTAATATGCCCATCAATTAGATAGACCTGTTTGAGAGTTCTGAGGGAGTGTACCAGTCAGCTCCAAGCCTGCATTGCAGAGCAGATTCTTTTGATTTATAAAATGCACAATTCAGATCTTTTGCTTGGGCCCAGATCAATTTAGCTGCAACAGCTGTATAATTTCTGCCACTTTCTGCGCTTTACACTCCATTATAATAATAATAATCGTTGCATTTGATATAGCACCTTATCATGAGACATCTCCAAGCACTTCACAGAATATACTGTAAAGTGAATTGACAGTTTTTTTAGAGAAATTATTACCTGCTGAGAAGGGATCCACTAATGACTAACAACTGGATTCCTACATACTGCTACTTACAGATGTGTGTGGAGTAAGGAAATTTGCCCAACATTTGGTCCTGTCAGGAATCAAATCCAGGTCTCTCGCTTGCGAAGCAAGTGCTCTAACCACTAAGCTACAGAACTCCACATTATATAGATATATACAAAGAAATGAGCTGAATAAGGCCCCAAGATCCGATCAACTCCAACAAGATTTTCCCCTATCCTACCTATACTCATAACAATGTTTCCCTCCTGCTGTTAGCTACACATTCCTCCTCTTCCCCCAGGCTTAAAAAACACAGAGAACCAAAAATTTCCAACATGAAGTGAAAAGACTCAGGAAAAATTCTCCCCAACTCCCGAAAGCAAGTGAATAAGCTCCAGGGGAGGTGTGGCCTCTTCCAACACAGCTCAATTGAGCCTGACCTTCACTACACTGCTATTAACAAGTGTGTCAGTGAAACAAATTTCAGCTCTGTGTCTGTAGCTGTCAATCCTTTCCTCCCTGAGAATCTGTCTACACTCCTAGAGAAGAATGTTTTTTTCTCTTAGCCAACAATCTTCCAAATAAAATTGGTCGTTCACTTCATTGTTTGTGGGACATTGGTGTGCTGTCGGTTCGTCCACAAAACTGGAGGCCTGTAGCTCAGTGGTGAGAGTACTCGCCTTGCAAGCGAGAGACCTGGGTTCAATTCCCAGCAGGGCAAAACTTTGGGCAAGTTTCCTTACTTCACATGCCTGATAATAATCCCTCAAAAAAAAAGCAATAATAAAGTGGTCACTTCAATCCACGACTGTATGTGGGACACTGCTGTGTGCAATTGGCTGACGCATTTCACCCACAAATATACAGTCAATTCACTTTACAGTCTATTCTGTGAAGCGCTTTGAGACGTCTGGAAGCCGTGAAAAGTGCTATATCAAATGCAAGGATTATTATTATTATTAAAACATAGACACTGCACTTTCAGTTTATCCCGTGAAGCACTTTGAGATGTCCTCCTGACATGAAATGTAAGGATTATTATTATTTTTGAATGAATAAGTATTATTTTCACAGGCAGTATCATTTGGGAGTCTGTTCCAGATGTCTGTCACCCTCTTTGTATGTAACATTAAGACAATTGTGTTGAAAAGCACACGCACCTCTGGAATCATGGGAGCTGAGGTGTTTAATTCATTGGAGGCTTTCCAACAGCAGACATTTTGTTGTTGACTGTGGGGGGTGGAAGACTCGGTTAATCGGCGTGACTCAAAGAAAGTGTTTTGTGACATCCATTTGCGACAATTGCATGTCTGCAAATCCCTGCAGAATCTACAAACAGAGGGCTCTTAAACTGTCACTTTGAATCACTGCCACTTTATTCCTTCCCACTGGAAAAACTTGACTTATTTATGTGTTGATGGCAATGTTTAGCACTGTGAAGGTGCCTTCTCTGTGTTTTGTGTGTGTTAAGAAGTAAAGGTTAAGGCTATTTCAGCTGTCAGCCTTTATTGGGATTGGATTTTAATTTTGTTGTTGTGAAAACGTGGCGACTAAAAGCCCAAAGTGCTTCTACACGAAAAGCATCAATGTCACTTGTCGCATTTTCCTGTGGGACGAGTTATTTAGTGATCTTTGGCAGTGGCATAGCAGAATTTAACCATTGTTAAACCTACACCAATGGAAAAATTACATCAGGCATTAAACAATAAATTGTTAGTCCATGTATCATTATAGAATCTTGGTCCTCTCACTTACGTGTATGTCAGGCTTTGTAAATATCTTATTAATCATCACTGTATTCAAGTGACTTTTAGTTGTAAAAGTATTTCCTTCTGTGGTTTATAAGGACATAGGAATATATGTGTTGAAAAAGCCCACTGCGGTCTATCTGCTGGTCGCAAAGCAACCGAAAATCAAACCCTATTCTTATCTACCTTTGAAACTCTTCAATTGAATTCTGAAATGCTGTACACTGTCCAATGCCTTGGGACGTCCTCCCAACGTGAAAGGCGCTATACAAATGTAATCGTGTTGTTGTTGTTGTTTGCTAGATAGCTATTGTATTCCTTCTTGAATTTGCTAACACAATCTGCCTTCAATCCTTCCCTGGGTATCTTATTCATACAATGGGTATTACACCTTATAAGGTGAGTTCCATTATAAGGTGAGTGCCCTGTTGGCTTCAGTGCACGCATGCTAAAAAAACAATTTCAGGTTGCTTCCGATATCGCTTCCTGTACACTGTGCACGCTTGATATATGCAGGAAGTGCCACTTACATTACTTTGCAAAGGAAGTGATGTCAGCCCCACTTGCTGCTTGCACAGTGCACACAAAGTTACCTCAATGGCAACCTGATGACCCTGGTTGACCTTTTATTTGCACAGGAAGCTATGTAACGCTCAAGTAGAAAGAGTAGTGGAGACCTGATGATTTGGAGATCCGCCATTTTTCTGTGCCTCCCCATAGTGTTGGGTGTAAGGCATTGGACCCAGACGACCGTGCTATAATGTGGTGATTCTTTTTGTGATGATAAGAAAACTTGAACCATCAGTTTTAGAAGAAATTAACATTTAATAACTAACCGTCGTTTTTAGGTTCAACTGAAAACCAATTTATCAAGCCAGTATGTAATCCGAACTCAGCCAACCAACACCTGCCTCTCGACGCTGGAGTGTGCAGCCATAGCACTGTCCATAGTAGAAAAGAACCATTCCATTCATGAGGTAAGAATTTGCTTGACACCACACAGGTCATCTTACTTTGTCTATGTTAGTGAAACTGGTTTTAACGAGGATTAGAGGAGTCAAGTGTGGATTTATTGGTTCTGTGGTCTGAATAAATTTAGTGATGTGCTGTGCCTGACCCACCCCCTCCCCTCTCATTTTATACATTAATGACCTGGATTCACACATTCAGTGCAAGGGGTGGTTATGTTTGCGGACAGCACCAAGTAAGGGGGAAACTGTGGAATCAGATGTCAGCTAGCATCTTACAAAAGGGACACAACATATTGCAATGGTTTTGCTCTTTGACTCTCATGTTCTGGCAAATCCACATTTCTGGAATAGCACACTGGAATAATAAGGACATTATAAATATGTGGACTTGTATGAATATGAATAAAAATCATTGTATTTGATATAGTGCCATATCACGTCATTGAGATGTCTCAAAGTGCTTCACAGAATATATTGTAAAGTGAATTGATCATATAATTTCTGGGTGAAACACAGCAGGCAATTGGGCACAGCATTGTCCCACGATGGGGATGATATTGTTGTGCTCTGATGCTTTCATGTCTGCACACTCACAGCATTTACTACATCTTCTTCTATACTAATAAAACAACAATGTCTGTCTGCCTGCACTTCAAGAAAGATCTCAGTAACCGATTGATGTAGAGGCATGATTTATGCCTCATCAAAACGGTCTTGCAACACAACCAAATTACATTTTTAAAGTGCCTTTCACGTCGGGAGGATGTCCAGTGATTATAAATTATACATTTATATTTATCATTATAAAGATGCCTAAGCGAAAATCAAACTTTTCAGGGATAAGTAAGTGTGTCTGGCCGTGTGTCAATCTACATTCCATATTGGATCCTTTGGTTACAAGCGTAGCAAGGGTACAGCTGCAATTTATATAATAAATTTAATACACATTAAATCTTGTTTATTCCTTTCCCTACTTATTATTTTAACCTTGTTGGTCATACTATACCAGTTGGGTGAGCATTGTATTATTGCAAGGATTTGTTCATGCAGAACAAAGTCTTGCCTTTGGGGATTGAGAGCATTTATGCAGCATTTCCCTTAGGACATTCTCCTTGTTAGAATATTTTTTTAAGTAGGACCAGTATTGCTCTCATGAAGTGCATATATCATTTACAGGTCCTGAGCACCAGAAGCAATGTTGTGTTTTTTTTCTCTTAGTCTAAAGTGTGCTACTGCTGTAGTCACTTAACCATGCTATACACTTTATCCAAGTAGAATCCAGTAAATGGCGGTGGGAGCATTCGGGATATGTCAACTATCCCCACAGAAGGAGCTAGGGAGGAGTATGGCTGAGTTAGAGTGGAGTTTATCTTGCAGCTGGTTCTTGAAATGGATCCCGTTGCCAACAATTATTGCATTGCATTGCGCTGCATGTGTAGGGATTCATAGCACATGCTGTGGCATTTTCCACTCTGTAATGAGCGAGATGAAGGACAAGTCATTCACCCAAGAGACTCTTTGTGGGGATGGAGCACAGATCACAGAATGTGATAGGGAGGGAGATCTTTATAACTTTGCCCTCCCCCATCCCATATGGTGAGGTTTGCAGGATGTGGACATTCTCCCATCTGTTGTCTGTTCTGACACCAAGAGGTAGCGAGTGACAAGAACAATAACCAAGTTTTTTTTAAAGAATGTACATTTTAGATTTTATCCACAAAATGTACAGTCAATTCACTTTACAGTATATTCTGTGATGCGCTTTGTGACGTCTCGATGACATGAGAAGGCGACATATCAAATGCAAGGATTATTATTATATTAGCCTGAGTGATTCAAATTTAAAGTTAATAAAAAATATTTGTTAAAATAGAGTCTGACATGCAGATCCAAGGGCCATAGTGTAATACATCACCAATGTTGAAAAGAGTCAAGAGACAATGAAATGTGGTAAGAAGTAGTTAGGTGACACAAAGTTTAGAGTTTTAAAGCAAGTATATTGTAGAAGGCGAGGGAGCTGAGGAATTTATTATCTTGAGGTAGAGTTCTAGTCAATGTAACAAGTCTTTAAACAAGTGAGTGGTGCAGCATGCAGACTTGGATTTGGGAGCAACAATAGAAGAAAGTTTTCGACCGGGCCTTTGGTCACCTTCCTCCCCCTCCCCCTGGCTCGGCCCCGTGATTCATTACTGTGAAGTGCTCTGAGACGCCGTCCGGCGCTATATAAATCCAAGTTGTTATTGTTGTTGTTGAGCATTTCATTTGAATTATACATCAGAACAATAACTTGTCTCGCAATCATTAATTTGTTCTGTTTATCAACACTGTCTTTAAAACATAAACTTAGATGGCATTTATTTAGAAGAAAAAACAATATTACTAGACTGCGAATAATTATTTATGATCTTCAAAATTTGCTGAAAGCTAGTTTCTGGTCATTCAGGTCTTCTCCACACTTAGTTTTCTGCTTGTTTTTATGTTCGAATTCAAGATCCTCATCTTCACCTACAAGGCAATTCACGGCCTTGCTCCCTCCTACCTCTCTGACCTACTATCCCCCTACTTACCTGTCCGTACCCTCCGTTCCTCTGGCTCCGGTCTGCTCCACATCCCCCGTCCCAACCGCTCTACCATCGGTGGCCGGGCCTTCAGCCTCTCAGCCCCCAGGCTCTGGAACTCCATCCCCCAGTGCCTTCGCCGCCTCCTCCCTTTCCTCCTTCAAGGCCGGTCTGAAGACCTTTCTCTTTGACCGTGCCTTCAGCTCCCCTCTCGACTCTCTATCCCCTCCTCGCTCCCTCCCTTCCCTCCCCTCACCCTGACCATTTAACCCCCTGCTCGGGTCCTGACCCAACTGTACAGCGCCTTGGGACATCCTCCCGACGTGAAAGGCGCTCTATAAATGGAATCTTGTTGTTGTTGTTTGGTTGTGAGACTTTATGTTTCATTTAGTTAAAATTTGCAAATTGTTTCCTCGAAGATGTGATAAGGCACTGTATCAAATGCAAGGATTATTATTATTATATTAGCCTGAGTGATCCAGATATGAAATTTCCTTGCGTTCTTCAATTGTATGCGTTGCAAGCTTTTGATTTAAAAAAATATTGGTCAGTTTTATGCTCTTTGAGGCTGAGGAATATTTGTGTTAGTAAATGGAACCATTATCCCCTCTGTTTTTCTCGAACAATATTCTTGCCCGAGTAGCTGTTGGTGATGTGTGAATCTAGACAGTTAGTGTTTGCGGGCTATTCGGCAATGGGGGGGGGCATCACAGCTAGAGCCTAATTCTGAACTCACCTGACATCAACACTAGCCATCAGCAGCCAGAGTGGGAAAATGGCTGACTTCCAGCTCACAGGCGCTGAGGCCATTTCCAGTGGCCCAACTGCTAACCTGGCAGAAATCAGCAAATTAAGATGCACAGATCAAGAATACAATCTGGGAGTTTAGCACTTTATTCCACCCTGTAGCTTTACAAATCCATCAGCCCCTGCCACCCCTTTTTACATCCCAAAACAATCATTTACATTTATACACGACTTTTCACTTTAGGAAGACGTTTCAAAGAGCTTCACAGCGCTGACTGGTGCTCAAATGGGGTGGAGGGTGGAGGGGTGGGGGGAAGAGGGAGGGAAATGGTAACTGAGAGTGTGGTTAATCAGATAAGTCTTAAGATGGATTTTGAAGGTAGCAAGGAAGCGGCAAGGCAGAGGGAATCCCAGGAAGCGGGGATAGAATGGCTGAAAGCTTGTCCACAGATAGTGGGGCACAAATAATAATGTCCATTTAAAGTAATGCACAAAAAGTTTGAATGAATGAAAGTGATATATTGCGGTCAAGAGTGAATTTTTTCAGGATAGGTACAAATGACTATGTTTATGTTATGTCTGACTTGAAATATCACAAAGAGGGGAGGAGCCTTTTCATTGAATGGCAGCCATCATTATACTCAAACATGTTTTTTTTAACTCCGTCCCAGGTAGGTCAGCCAGAGAAAAATTGAACAATCCAGCGTAACTGGAAAGAACCAGGAATAATGTCTTCATTTTCTCAAATAATGCTGTGAATTCATAGGTATTTGTGTTCTGACACTAATGTTCTTATCTTGTCTGTTTAAAACTGCAGGTTATACTGCGACCACTTCAGGCTTTGTGCTCATTCCAGCTGCAGCACGGAGCTCAGATCCATCACAGCAAGGAACACCTGATTAAGAATGGAATGTACGCAAAACCAATGCCAAAGAATAAACGCAAGCTCAATAGAATGGAGCGTTTGGCAAACAATGAAAAAATATAGTGAAAGTACAGTTTTAATATGATTTTACTTCTGTGAGAAGTTTTTTCTGAACGTTAGATTTTTCTGATACTGTTGGGTACCTTGGATCCTTATTTCAACCTCACGTCACTTCTCTACAGCAGATCCATTTGTGATTGGCTTTCCGATATGACCATCGGATTTACTGAACTGTTAATAACTTAAGAGGATTAAAACTGCCTTTTCTTTATCCTCTTTATTGGGATCCAGTTCAGAATGCTGCGGTCACATTGGTAAGATGATAGAGCGGCCCAGTTACACAAAGTTTTACTGAGCTTCACCTCGCGCAGAGTTCACCTACTTCAGACAAGATAAGCAAATCTTGCCCAGGAAATATCTCAATCTGAATTGGTTTGTGAGTGCCTGTTTGGATTTCTATCATTCAGTATTGTGTCTGGGACAATTGAACGCTGGCCAGTTTAGGCTAAATAAGCAAAATAGTCTAAATGTAGCTTAGCATAGTAAGAAGTGAGAATCCAGGTCTTACTTAAAGCACGAGAAGATTGTCTAAAAGTTCCTCCATTCTAAAAAAGGTTTAATTATGTGTGGTGACCCTGGACCTTCTAGGAAATAATTTGGTATTTCCATAGGCTTTGGCCCATGATACAAAGTCAGAGCTGTGCATGTAAAATATTTAGCAATTCAGGTCTGAGTTCTTATAAAATTATACAGAAATCCAAAGACTGCAGTAACTATGTGAGATCAATAAGTATTGCACATACCAGAGATGCATTTATACACACAGCATTATTCATTGGGGGCCTTCTCCCAGGGCTGTCTAGAGAAGTTGAAATTAGCTCCCAATATCACTCTGTCTGATCTGTGCGACTTATTGAAGGTTAGGATGAGAAAGAGATTCATAGAAATTGATGTGTACAGAGGCACACTCAGCATCCTAAGATGGTTTGCGTCTTAGCTATTTGTGAAGACTGATTCCAGCACTGACTGATGTGTGCCAGTGCAAATGAAAATGGTACAAGGTGGAAGAACAATGCATTGGAATCATTAACTGAAGCCAAACTAAATTATGCCCTAAAAACTTTAATTTGAATTGTGGCAGATATTTTTTTAAAAACATGGTAATGAAATCAAGTGCCAGTTCTTTTCATGAGTGAAATTAAAAATAAGTGTTAAGGATTCTGTGAATGTAATAGATGGGATTCCCTGTTCCCACTAGACAAGTTATTTATGTTAACTGTGCAACAATACAAACCAGAGGTCCCAAACTTATCCACATCTTTGCCTTAAGATTTAAGATTGAGCTGAATTTTTTAAAATTCTTAAGTTCGGTCTTGAAAGCTGTTTTTCTGCAGTTCTTTCATTTTTTTCAATTGTGTGGGATCTGATGCATGAGGCCCTAGGGTTCATCTTGCTCACCAATCACCCTGTGCTCACAACTAGTAAAGAGCCAGAAGTGTGGAGGAGAGGAGTTGGGGAGGGTGAGCAAAACATGGAAATAAGAATTTGCCAATTTTAGCAAGTTAATTTCCTGATGTATGTTTAATATCATCACAGTGAATAAACCTGCCGAATCAAATGGAAATGCTGTATTCCATTGCTTTTAGTGGCACACGTACAGCAATTGAAATAGAATTATATTACATTTATAACTCCAAATACAGCTTCTGATATCTTAACATTTCTGTATGTTTTTAATAAACACTTCTTCCAAAAGGGCCTTAATGCTGCTTTTTGTTTGCTATATTTATTTGGAAACATTGATAAAATTGATGCAATTACTTCAGGTGTTATTACTGTGCTTCAGTGCAGACATTGCCATATCTCAACAACATACACCATATTAACTGTCAGCATCTGATATATCAGCTTTGTCAACCAAAATAAGAATAAAATAAAAGCATTTCCACAATTTTGCAGTATATACTGTATTATGAACTATAATAGACATGCAGAAGTGATTTCAAGGCTCCATTCTCATCTTGGGTTTTGTGTGAGGATGATTGTTTTAAAACACTTGAACCATTCTTTACCTGATTTGAACTCCTTCATGAGACTGTTGATTTGTGTTATTGTCCATGTCATTCTAAGGACTTTTCCCCTCTATTCCTGTTGAATATCCATTAGTCATTTTGATATCCATTCTCTATAATTCTTCTCAGATGTGCACTGCAAACTATACTTTCAGAGATGCCAAGGCAGCAGTTCAAGGGAGCTACAACAACAAATTTACATTTGTATAGTGCCTTTCAGTCAGTTGGATGTCCTAAGACGCTGGAAAGTCAGGGATCTGCACAGTTTTAGGGTTGCAAAGGGAAGTTTCAGAACAGACACCAGGTTTTTCTTTATCCAAAGGGTTAATTCATTACTGAAATAAGTTACCAGGAAACGTGGCTGAGGTCAGGAAGTTGGACTCAATTAAGAAAGAGCTTGATGCTCTAATGGGAGGATGGTAGGGTGGATAATAATAATAATCCTTGCATTTGATATAGCGCCTCATCACGTCTTTGAGACGTCTCAAAGTGCTTCACAGAATATACTGTAAAGTGAATTGACTATATTTTGTGGGTAAAACACGGAGACCAATCGCACACAGCAGTGTCCCACAAACAGTCATGGATTGAAGTAACCGATTTATTATTTTTTTGAAGACAATATTACCCCCAGAAAAATGATCCGCCAATCGACTAACAACTGGATTCTTACTTACTACTAGGTAAACAGGCGTGCAGAGTAATGAAACTTACCCAACGTTTCGCCCTACCGGGAATCAAACCCAGGTCTCACTTGTGTAGCGAGTACTCTAACCACTGAGCTACAGGACTCTACACAGATATTCTGGAAGGATGAGATAAAATGAGCCGAAGGGTCTTCTTCATCTGAATCTCTCTTATACAGAAACTGGTGTGCTGGGAATGCAGTATGACCCCTGTCATAACTCCTGGCCGCTCAGCCCACCCAATATAAACATTGTTCCAGTGCCATTGCTCTTTTGATACATCTGTAAGTGGAATCTCAAGTATCCGTTATTCTCTGTATAATCACTTGGATATCCATGATATCCAGTACTTTCAGATATCCATTACTTAGTGAGTATCAATTAAATTCCTCCCACATATTTATTCTCTGTATAATCCCTTGGATTTCCCTTATTTCTAAATACTCTCAGGGGTGTCCATGTAAGTAAGTACTTTCGAGTATTCTCTGTGTAAGTGGAAATCCTCTCATTTTTGGAGTAAAATGACTTGGAGATGCATTCTTTGTATAATTAATCTGAGCCATCGATTGCTTTCTGTATAAGTTTAATACTCCCAGTTATCCATTATTTTCTATGTGATTACATTTGGATATCTATTTTTTGTGCAATTATTTTCAGATATCCATTCTATGGAATTATAGTACCATCGGATATCTGTTATTCTCTGTGCAATTACTTGGATATTATTCTCAACAACAACAACAACAAGATTCCATTTATAAAGCGCCTTTCACGTCAGGAGGACGTCCCAAGGCGCTGCACAGTTGGGTCATGACCCGAGCAGGGGGGAAATGGTCAGGGTGAGGGGAGGGAAGGGAGGGAGCGAGGAGGGGGAAATGGTCAGGGTGAGGGAAGGGAGGGAGCAAGGAGGGGGAAATGGTCAGGGTGAGGGGAGGGAAGGGAGGGAGCGAGGAGGGGGAAGAGAGTCGAGAGGGGAGCTGAAGGCACGGTCAAAGAGAATGTAATTACATTCTATGTAATTACTCAGATATCCATTATTTTCACTATTCACTCTCCAATGTTAGTCTTTGTATAATCATTCTGTCTATTGCCTATAATTATATAGATAGCCATTATTCTTTGTGTAATCACTCTCAGATATCCTCTCAGTTGCATCACTCAGATATTCATTATCTGCTGTATAATTTTGGTATCAATTTTTCTCAGCATTTGCTTAGGCACCCACTATTCTCAAATTAATAACTCTTAAGAACTCAGTCGTCAGACTTATCAACACACTCCTGATGGGCTAAAATTTTCAGAAAATACATATTCCTTGAGAAGATTAATCCTTGTTTTTTGGTACAAGTTTCTATGTAAATATCTAGATTTAGGAAGTATTACAAATAAACATATTTTCATGTTTCGAGCATTTGACAGCTATTTCTACTACAACATCCAACCTCACGCCAAACAGCAAAGGGTATTTTATTGGGAGAAAAGAAAAGTAGCAGAAGACTTTTCCACATCCTACTTTGGGAGTACACATGAAGACAGAAACTAATCTGAGACGGAAATTAACTTTCATGAGTTGATGCAGCCAGAGGCTATACAGTAAAGATCAAGATATTTTTGTTGTGATATTAAAGTTTTAACAAACATGTTTGGTCACTTGAAATCTACTTCTCAGTAAGTATAAATCCCAAATTTCAATAGTTCCTTGATTTTCAACACCAATTTAGTAATCTTTGACAGGGCTGCACGCTAGAGCACTGCGGAGTCCATCAACAACAACAACAACAACAAGATTCCATTTATAGAGCGCCTTTCACGTCGGGAGGACAGTTGGGTCGGGACCCGAACAGGGGGGAAATGGTCAGGGTGAGGGAAGGGAAGGGAGGGAGCGAGGAGGGGGGGAAATGGTCAGGGTGAGGGGAGGGAAGGGAGGGGGTAGAGAGTCGAGAGGGGAGCTGAAGGCACGGTCAAAGAGAAAGGTCTTGAGACCGGCCTTGAAGGAGGAAAGGGAGGAAGCGGCGAAGGCACTGGGGGATGGAGTTCCAGAGCCTGGGGGCTGAGAGGCTGAAGGCCCGACCACCGATGGTAGGGCGGTTGGGGCGGGGGATGTGGAGCAGACCGGAGCCAGAGGAACGGAGGGTACGGACAGGTAAGTAGGGGGATAGTAGGTTGGAGAGGTAGGAGGGAGCAAGGCCGTGAATTGCCTTGTAGGTGAAGATGAGGATCTTGAATTCGATCCTCTGGGGGATGGGGAGCCAGTGGAGGCGAGCGAGGGTGGGAGTGATGCGGTCGCGAAGCCTGGTGCGGGACAGTACACGAGCTGCAGAGTTCTGAATGACCTGCAGCTTGTGGAGGGAGGTGGCGGGAAGGCCGGCGAGGAGAGAGTTCCCATAGTCCAGCCTTGAGGTGATAAAGGCGTGGACCAGAGTTTCAGCAGCGTGAGGGGTGAGGTAGTGCCGTAGTCTGGCGATGTTTCGGAGGTGATGGAAGGCGGTGCCAGTTGTGGTGCGGATATGAGGGAGAAAGGACAGCTCAGGGTCGAACAGAACCCCGAGGTTCCTGACTGGCTTTGAGAGGTGGAGAGTGCAGCCTTGGATGCTGATGCTGTCAGCGCCTGAGGTGCGGAGGCGCTGACGTGAGCCAATCAGGAGGGCCTCAGTTTTGCGCACGTTGAGCTGAAGAAAGTTGTCTCTCGTCCAGGACTCGATGTCGGACAGGCAGCTGTCAGGACATCGGTGGTCGTGGAGTTGAGGGTAGAGGAGGAAAGGTAGAGTTGGGTGTCATCCGCATACATGTGGAAGTTAACCCCATGTCTGCGGATGATGTCACCAAGGGGGAGCATATAGAGGGTGAAGAGGAGGGGACCGAGGACAGAGCCCTGAGGGACACCACACGAGACAGTGCGGGGCTGGAGGAAAAGCCGTTTGTGGAAACAAAATGAAGACGGTGGGAGAGGTACGACCTAAACCACTCAAGGACAGGGCCTTGAAGGTTGAGGTGGGAGGACAAGCGGTGGAGTAGGATAGCGTGGTCGACCGTATCGAATGCTGCCGATAGGTCGAGGAGGACGAGGAGGCAGAGGGAGCCCTGGTCGCAGATGGTCAGGATGTCATTGGTGACCTTGACCAGGGCAGTTTCTGTGCTATGGGCAGCACGGAAACCCGACTGAAGGGGTTCGAATAATGAATGGGCGGAGAGGAAAAAACGCAGCTGGGAGGCGACAACTCTTTCAAGGACCTTGGACAGGAAGGGGAGGTTGGAGATGGGCCGGTAGCTTGATAGCTGCGACGCATCAAGGGAGGGTTTTTTCAAAGTGGGAGTGATGATGGCAGTTTTTAGGGGAATGGGAACAGAGCCAGAGGAGAGGGACAGGTTGATGATGTCTGTGATATGTGGGGCAAGGAGGTGGAGCTGGGAGATAAGGAGTGGAGTGGGGATGGGGTCAAGGGAGCAGGTGGTGGGTTTCAGGGACAGGATGAGTTTGGTGACAGAGGGTGGGGAAACGGGTTCGAAGGTGTGTAGGGGAGGATGGGTAGGAGTCGGAGTGTGGGAGGGAGGGGTTGGGGGGTGGGTGGAAGTTGGAGGGGGAGTGACCGCGGAGCGGATTCCCTTGATTTTGGATTCAAGGAAATCCAGCATCTCCTCGCAGTGAAGGTTGGAGGAGATGACCTGCGCGGGGTGGCGGGGGGACGGAGGAGTCGGGATGTGGTAGAAAACAGTAGCCTGGGGTTGTTCTTCGCCTCTAGTATTATCCTGGAGTAGAAGGATGACTTGGCCGAGGCTAGAGTAGAGCAGTAGATTTTGAGGAGGTCCAGCCAGATTTGTCGGTGGACCGTTAGGCCAGATTTGAGGCAGGTGCATTCAGTGAGCGGAGGTGGGTAGTGAACGAGGGGTAGGAGCGAGAGTACGAGACAGTATGGGAGGTGATGGGGGCAAGAGTGTCGAGTGTGGAGGAGAGGGTGTTGTGGAGGAGGGTGAGAGGAGAAGAGGGGTCAGTGAGGGTTGAAGGCCAGAGGGAGAGGAGTTCAGAGGACTCCAAGGCATCGGTTAGGGATTGTGGGGGTAACT